AGCATGATTCGAGCAATCGCCTCATCAATGCAACTAAGTAAACTAATACAACGATAATTCGTGCCACATTACTTTCTCCCCTTTGCCCCTGTACGACGGTAACACACGGACATCCTTCAACTCAACTGGCATCTATTCATCAATCCACACGCGCTGCACTTGGGTGCAGTGCGTATAGCAACTCCAGTCCACCGTGTTTCACCACCTTTGTGGTATCCCGTCGGCTCCGGCCCAGATGCTGTCTCGCGATAGAGCAAATGCTTTCTGCACTTCCTGGAGCATAGGTGTGTCGGCAAGACCGTTCGTCAAATTCTGTTCTTACAATTCCTGCAACCTATCCCGTTGAATTTCCGAACGCTTGTTTAATAAACAGCCTGTCTTTCGCCAGGTGTGCTTTACGTCTGCAGTCTTTGTGCAGTCAGCGTCTGAAGTAACATTCACTAGCGTCCTCAGCGGCTGCAACGTTCTGTTGGCGGCGTTCGACATAGCATTCCATCTGCTCCGCCTTCTCCGTCCACCATGCATTCTTGATGCGATGGAGTTCTCGGGTCCACCGCAAACACAGAGCCCGACACTGACTCTCCTTTCCGGAGTTGGCAGGTTCCTCCACGTGCGCAACTAATATTGCATGCTTCTCCGACATCAGTGTGCCAATCGTTGCACTATTGTCATCAGGCCAATCGGGCCGTTCATAGTTTTGCGTCCGATGGTTTCTCGGGCCACAACAGTAACCTGTTCATGGATGTGATGCCACAGGTGGCTGACTTACGTGATCAAGTCGATATCACCACTGAGAGTTTTCATCGCATTCCCCAGTTCCATCTTCTTCTCGACAGTATAAACGAAACGAACATCAGATTTGCGCTGGTCCACGGCATGGGAACAATACATGGATTCACGAACGCAACTATACAGCTTGGTCCGCATCAATATGTTATCAGCTCCACATTACTTCACCTAGTACGCCTGTCATGCGCACTTCACCCATGCCACGCTGGTGTACGATAACATAGTCTGACACGTGAGCGTGGCAACTCCATGGATGCGTCTATGCACAATCACTTGCACCCAGTGGGAACGGTGTTTGCGATCACCAAACTTTGAGTGCTGCACAGCGAGAGCAGCTGTTCCCCTGTTCCATTGGCTGTACCAATACCATTCGAACTGATTAGCTATGCCTACACCACTGGGTAAGTCCCAACGCACGCATTGAAATCACCCAGTAGGAATAGTCGATTGCTCCTTGGCACGAACCGTACCACGGAAGACAACTGAGAGTAAAGCCGATCCTTTGTGCCATCAGGACAACACATTGTTTGACCATATGTGCTGATTAACGTTACAAACTTATAACGTTCGTTGCGTAGACGAAGTGTCATCATTCCTGGTCTAACACCAGTGGGCTCCTCTATCATATGGGTATTTAAGCGCTCGGACAATACAAATCCGATTTTATCTTCGTCTGGGGCTGTGGGGTTGTTTCTCACCCAGTAGAATGTATGCCCAACGCCATTTTCTTTCATTTTGCCTTAGCCAGTCAACTACCTAAGTGGGTGTGGCAATATTAACGCCGTTGCCCCCGAGTTCCTTAGCAACCATTGCAGTGTGTCGCTTGGTCCAGTATTTGGGTGCACGTTCCAGCATTCGATGTTGAACGCTTTACGCAGTGGCATACGATTTGGCTTGAAAGTCACTCGGGTGGTCAGTTGGGGTGGGGTTGGGACTGACAGGATGGGCCAACTGAACTAGGGATTGGGGTAGGGTATTGTTGAACGGAAGTGAAAGAAGGGAGGCATCAGCGGTGGTATGTGTTTGCTTTATGCAGCAGACAACGCCACCATTTTTCCTTACTGCGTGATAGCCGATGCAACAGGATATTGTTTACAGTTGTGTGGTTCATGATTTGTGCTTAGACTGATATACGGCCGGAGCGTCCACACATGAACGAGAAAACGACCCGGGTCCTCTGCTAATGCCTTCGACAAAATGTACTCTCGAATGGTAGCGAGAAATGTGATGTGATGTTCCAGATCTTAGCTAGAAGAAGTGTATAACGCTACTTCCGCCCAGCGATCACCACATGGAGGTGTCCAGGAGATGAATCCACATCAGAATTATGTCAGCGGCGAGTCAGCGATCTGTCAATATCTATCCTCCGCAAGCCACATTGTTCCGTTGGCTCTCCAACTTCATATATGCACATAACTAGTTTCACCCTTATTGGAACCACAATTTGAGACCAGCAACTTTTAAGTCTCCCGGGCAAGTGATTAAGGTGGCAGTATTTGATCGGCTCGTACCTTGTCAACATTCTCACGATACGTAGTTAAACTTGGGATGTCAATCGCAAGCGTTTTCATACTTTTGACAATGACCATCGGGTACGGTCACAATTCCGCGACGAATCAGTCACGCTATTAGTCTGGGTTTGTAATCGAAACCAGCAGCGGTAGATGTTTACTGTGCCGACACTTTCCAGTCATTTCTTCGGTATCGTATGCTCGTGACCACTTTAATGACTTGACACACTGGCGCGGCTGAGGCGCACACGACCGCATGTGCAGCAATACTTGGTTTATGATATAGGCGGACTGCGCTGCACCGGCGCCTGTCGCTTGCGTAGCTCTTTTTGTTCCTGACGTAACAGTCCCTTCTGATTCATCTTATCGGCATCACTCTTTATGTGAACACGCATTGGCAGTGGTCTACTGCCATTACCTCCCAACAACTAAGGCCAGCATTAGTTAACGGTAAATCTGGTTGGAATCCCGAAAGATCCGATAGATGCGCACGACTGACAAGGCCCAACAGGTGTGAACTGCAGTTTAGTGCTTCTCCGAACATGTGAACTCTTAATCAAATCATCTTTAATCTTATCCTAATTGCGTATTTTCGGCTTACATTCCACTTATCTCACGTTCACATGTTTGGCCGCATCCGGTTTCGGATTTGCCCGTCAATGCAGCCTCCATAGGACAGGCACAGGACGCCTGTGCCTTAGGAGCGACCATAAGCAGCCTGCGCTGCAACACCCACATCTCCATCCACACTGCATATCCAGTGCACACCAGTAGGAATTCGACCGGAAGGCATGGGGATTTGAGCCACGTTTCATCAACAGAGCCGTCCCACAATCCTTCAACATGCACAGCAGCGGCATTCCCGTAAATCTAATTTGGGTATCTTGCGTACGAGACGTTCACAAGGCGGTGGGTAGACCGTAGCCCAATCCACACTAAATGCATTGGACCACACTTTGAGCGTAGTACGATTCCGAGGATCGTGCACACCGTCCCCTCCAGTAATGATTAGCTGTGTCCTGGAGACAGTATAATCAAGGTTGCGGTTTTTCGACAGATAGGCATCTCGTCAACATTCGCAATCAACGCTGCCACACCGGGGATCAGACATCAAACGCACTGTGAAGAAAAATAAGCAAACTAGCTGGACAGAAAATGTGCGGCAGAATAGAAAAACCAAGAATATCTATTAATTCTAGTCTAGTATAAGAGTTATTTTGGGTAAGTGTAAGTTAGAAGATGTCAGCCGACGCCACCGAATATGACAACAAGCTCACAAAATAACCAAGGTATATGTAAATGATCAGCAGAACAAAGCAACTAAAATAACCTAAATTCACTTAGACTTAGTGTACTACGGAACAACCGGGATAAGCCAGATAAACCCCAATATCCGTATCTCACTGTCGAGATATAAACTGTATCCTACCTTTCTCTTCTTCACATTAGTCATGTAATATTAAATATTTCTACTTTCCCCAGCGCAACAGCCCAGAAGCATATAGCGATTCTCAGTGCTCCGCGATACCAAGTACTATATTTTGCAACCGTCGGATAAATCTGAAGATTCCTTTCAGAACTGCCTCGCATATTGAGAATCCGAACAACCACCTATTACGCCTATCCCACCGCACAATTTGATCGAGAAATCCGTCGGCTTTTCTTGGCGGTATTTAAATACAACAATTTCTTATTTATCATCATTACCGTAATTGCCTTTCTACCTCCTCGTATTTTATATTTTACTTTACTCCTGAACTCTCCTGAACTGACGGATTTTAGCTTCCAAACTAATAAATGAACCCATGTGAGACAAGATGCCATAGACTCCCTGACGAGTAATAAAAGTGTTTGACTCAAAAAACCGATTTGCGGTACGGCTATATGACCTAAATGTTCATAAATATCCACTTAGAAAGAGCCCTAAAGTTGAGTGCGATTGGTGGTGGCAAACCTGCTTTAAAGCCACATCAGCACATGGTCAGAACAGGCATTGGAGTGCGAGTGAAACCTTTCCAGGGATTAACCTGCATGGAAGCAGGTCCCCTGGAGACGAACCCACGGTTGGCCGTACTACTTTACTATAACAGCTTTATCTGTATTTATTGTTACTATTATTATTACTATTATTATTATTATCATCATCATCATCAACTAATCCATGTATTTGAAAGATGCAACCGATCAGTCAGCCACGAAAATAGTTGGGAACTACTCTGAAAAAAGAACTCGAAGAAATATTATCCGTCTCATGCGATCTGGTTGCACATACTGACCAGACCAATCAGTTGGACTGTACCTCGCGCCGTACCCTTTATTTATTTATTTCTATGCAACATCAACCGTGGCGTAATGCCGCGATGTGGATAGACGTAGTTGGTCCATATGGTATTGACACGATCAAGGGGAACGGTGACCGGCTACTCTCACGGCCTGACGATCACGAACACGCAATTTGCACTACCTACGAGTGACAGCTGCTTGGACGCATCCACGCAGTGGTCACGTTCACCTGCTCAACTATGTCAGCGTGACATGCTTGGAGTGCGCATGACACGTGTACTGCGTGGAGCTGCTTGTGGCACTGATCACAAGTAGGTGCAGACCAAATTGCATATATATTTTCGTAAGTCTATTTATTACGCTGCTGCCATGAACCAGCGCAAATAGAACGTTCCTTCAATAAGAAGAGAATGAAACTGGAGAATGCGATGTTGATATAGAATCCAGAGCTTCAGTGAGCGACATGTGGCACCACGTTCGTGCGCAGGCGACAGCTATGGCCGAAGAAACGATGGGGGCGCGCAAACTAAGCGGCCCGGTTGCTTGGATGACAACAGTGCGATCATTAGCGCATTATTGTCGGCGAAGAATGCAGCATCCGCCGCACATGCAGGGACCCTGCTGATTACAAGAAGGGGAGTCGTTTTCGCAAACTTCGACGGCGATTGACTCGAGGGTTCTGTCGCATCAAGAATGCATGGTGGACAAAGAAAGCGGAGCAGATGGAATGCTATGCCGTACGCCGCCAACGTAAGGAATCCTTTGACTCTTTGAAGTAGTGTATGGATCCATGTTGCAGCCATTGAGAACACTGATCGATCCTATCTCAACCGCTGCCTGCACAAAGACTGCAGGCATAATGCAGATCTGGCGAATGCACTTTGATTGTCTCTTTAATAACCGTTCAATGATTGACTGGGCTATGTTGCGGGGACTGTAACAACAAGAGGTATAGATGCGTCTTCCCGACCCACCAACATATATATATATATATATATATATATATATATATATATGGCGGGAGAACCTATGGTGCACTGAGGCTGGTGGTGGCTAGATCCTGACAGATGGTCTCCCCACTGCTGCTACTGTTGCGCCATAGTCTCATGTCCTGGGCGTCTCCTCGTGGCGACCGCTGGGTGGGAGTTGGGTTTCGCCCTTCTCCCTGCTAAGATCCAGGACACCAATCCGCATGAGTCAGTGGACTGACCATGTGCTAGACCCGCTGCCTTTCGGGTGTTCATTTAATCGAAGGCTTTGGCTGAGGACCCGAGTCGTTCTCCTGTCAGGAGTGAGAGCCCTGGCAGTATCCTAGTCCATCCTCTTAGGGGGTTAGGAAGTGGTCGATGGCTCTCTTCCCGTAAAACCTAGCCATGGGAGACAACAGGTCTACGGGTTATAAGCTCACAGGTCGATTGGCGTAGAGCACGAGCGCCACGCATTGTCTCTGACGGTGGGAGGGCACCTCCGGGTGTTCAATGGTTTGCTACTGCCCGCCGCAAGCCAGGCAACCCCTGGTCAAATTGGTGCAAACCCGCCAAAACGTATCTGCGTCTGGCCGTGGTCGCAGGTGTATCCTATTACGGTCGCAAACCATATATAAACCGTTCCACTACCTCCAAGGCTGCGTGTGACGGCCGTCAAACAGATCCCAATCTGTCTCTGCAATCACGTTCCCGAGCTGGATCTGCTCCCCACTGCCTTGTGGGTCAGGCTATGGAACCGAAGGCTCCGGGTGGAGTCCCTCAAGCAAACTTCCGAAGCACAACGACCACCTCGCGTGCGATTGCCCACCAATGCAATCGTATGCCTGCGCGCAAAGCACTCAGCATCGAGTGCTGGAACGTGCGCACACTACTGGACCGGAACTCCAGCGAGCGCCCGGAGCGACGCACTGCACTGGTCGCAATGGAACTGGCGTGCTACCACATCGATATTGCGGCGCTCAGTGAAACTCGGCTCGCTGAGCAAGGTATGTTGCATGAAGCAGGTGCTGGCTACACATTCTACTGAGTGGGAAACGCCGCCTCAGCACCACGTGAACATGGGGTCGGATTTGCAGTATCCGATCGCCTCCATGTCGTGCTGTTTGGTGAACCAACGGGCATCAGCGCGCGACTGATGACTGTTCGCCTACGACTCGGAAGAGGTAAGTTTGCCACTTTTATAAGCACGTACGGTCCGACCATGTGTTATCCTGATGACACGCGTGATCAGCTTTACACTCAGCTTTTCTCCGTGACACGGTTTGTTCCGAGGGGCGACGGATTATGCTGGGTGATTTCATCACGTGCGTTGGGCGTGATGCACCGGTGGGGACAGATATCATCGGTCCGCATAGTATTGTTTCAGCGAATGCGAACGGCGATCGGCTGCTCTCACTATGTGCCACTCACGGCCTGACGATCACGAACATTCGGTTTGCACTGAGTGCGTGTGATCCAGCAACTTGGATGCACCAAGGAGTGGTCACACTCACCTGCTCGACCCTGTCATCGTACATCAGCGTGATATGCGTGAAGTGCGCATAATACATGTACTGCGTGGAGCTGAGTGTGGCACTGATCACAACTTGGTGCACATCAAACTGTACATATATTTTCGTAAATATATGTATCCCACTCCTGCCGTGAATCGGCGTAAATTTAACATTCTCTCCCTCGGTACTGTGGCGAAACGTACTGAGCTGGAGAAGGCGATGGCTGCACGCCTGTGTGATGTGGAAGGCATAGCCACAGTAGGCGACCTGTGGCACCACAGTCGCCACCAGGTGACAGCTGCTACCGTGGAGACCATCGGGCGCGTAAACTGTAAGCGACCTGATTGGTTTGATGACAAAAATACGACGATTGGTGCATTGGTGTCGGGGAAGAATGCAGCATTTGCTGCACATGTCGCGGACCCCGGTGACTTGGGGAAGAGTAGTCAGTTTCGCAGACTTCGACGGTGACTGACCCGAGAGCTCCGTCGCATAAAAAATGCGTGGTGGACGTAGAAGGCGAAGCAGATGGAATGCTACGCCGAACGCCGCCAACACAAGGAATACTTTGACTCCTTGAAAACGGTGTATGGACCGAGATTGGAGCCACTGAGGACGCTGATCGATGGTAGCTCATGCGCGACCTGCACACAGACTGCAGACATAATGCAGATCTGGAGAAAACACTTTGACTGTCTCTTGAACAACCTACATTGAACTGCCTGAAGCAGCACGATGTGAAGACGAGTCTGGCGGACACGCCGACACTGGATGAGACGCAGAGAGCACTTGCTCAGCTGCGAAACGGCAAATGTGCCAGAGCCGACGGGATCCCGCCTGAAGTATTGAAACACGGCGGACCCGTGTTGTTGACTGCGCTGCACCACTTGATGCAACGTGTATGGATTGGGGAGGAGGTGCCTCCTGAGCTGAAGGATGCCCTTGTGCTACCACTTTACAAGGGCAAAGGGAGCAAGCAATGTTGCACGAATTGTCGTGGCATCAACTTACTGAGTTTTGTGGGCAAGGTGATTGCCCGAATCCTTCTCAACCGCCTCGTTAGTCAGGTTGTGAAATCGAACATGGCGGAAGAGCAATGTGGATTCCGTTCGGGTCGCAGCACTATAGATATGGTGTTTGCAGCTCGTCAGTTGCAGCAGAACTGCAGAGAACGACACCAGCCATTGTACTCGCTTTTTGTTGATTTCACCAAGGCATTTGATACGGTGAACCGCGAGGTATTGTGGCTGGTGTTGGGTAAATTTGGTTGCCCGCGTAAGTTTGTAAGTTTATTTGAATGTCTGCACAGTGGTATGTGAGCGAGAGTGCAGCTGAGTGGAGAGACCTCGGATGACTTTTCAGTTGTCTCTGGTGTGAAGCAAGGCTGTGTCTTAGCTCCTGCCCTGTTTAATATCTATCTTCATGCAATGTTGTCTTGTGCTTTTGATGCCGCTTGTGCTTACGGTGTTCGTGTGGAGCACCGTATTGATGGTGAGTTGCTGAACATCCGTCGTTTCGGTGCGAGAAATCTAGTATGTGGGACAACCATCCGCAAGTTGCTGTTTGCTGACGACTGTGCGTTGTTTGCACACAGCGCGGATGAGCTGCAGCACATGACTAGTGCGCTGGCTTCGACAGCGGCCAAATTCGGGCTCACCATCAACACAAGCAAAACTGTCTGTCTCTTTCAGCCTTCATCGGTGGTGCAATCTTCAATATTGCCGCGAATCAGCATTTGTGCTGAAGTATGGAAACCACCTCCCGCTTCTGCTACCTCGGGAGTGTGATGTCGACTGATTAGCAGATACACAGTGAGCTTCGTATCCGCTTGTCGAAGGCAGCGGGGGCATTCGGGAAGCTTGAGTACCGAGTGTGGAACAGCCATCAGCTTACCATTGGCACGAAGCTGGTATACAAATCCATGATGCTGTCCGTTCTTCTATACGGCAGTGAAACGTGGACGATGTACCGTCGGGATGTGCGATATCTCGAGCGGTTCCATCAGCAGGGCTTGCGACGGATTTTGCGCATTGGTTGGGGCGACAGAGTTGCAGACACGGAAGTGTTGCTACTAAGTAGGATGTCTGCAGTGGACTGCATACTTTTTCTGAAACACCTGTGGTGCATCGGTCATGTGAGCCGTATGGATTCAACGCCGATACCGAGGCAACTCTTATATGGTCAGCTGAGTATTTAGAAGCGGCACGTGGGGAAACCAATGTTACGTTACCAGGACATGATCAAAGTGAGCCTCTCACGTTCTACTGATTGCAGATCATGGAAATCGAAGGCGGTTGGTCAGCGTGCATGGCGCGATCTGATCACGAAGGCAGTTGCCGAGGTGCAGGAGAAATCCCTCATGCATGCAGAGAAGAAGCGGCAAGTGCGGAAGCGGCAAACACCGATGGGTTGTTCTCCATCGACATCAAGCGCATGGTGCTGTGGCACATGCGGTCGCGAATGCCTGAGTCAGGCAGGCTTAGTGAGCCATGAGCGAGGCCACTCGGGACCACTACCGAAACGACGACTGGTCCTGCAAAGAACGTAGGCAGAACCAGCGCAGCGTTTGTAGGTACGCTGCATTCGATTTACTAGCCGCGTGCTTGCATGCTAAGTCTATTTATTTCAGGTGGTGGGTTTTCAATTTTGTCCTAATGCTTTTCTTTCTCAAATAAATGTCCACCTGTACGCTCTTCTATAAACGTGCTCACGTCGCTTAATCCAATTGTAGTTAATTTCGATAACATTTTCGTGTTTGTGGCATTTCCGTAAAATATACCTTCTGACTCCCTGAACTTATCTCGGATTCTTGTGTAAACAACTTATTTCATGTGCTCATTAATTTAAGATTTATGTCACGTTTCCTTATGCATTACTCGATTTATTTTCTTTGTTATGTTTCTCTCGAGTGATTGGCTGTTGCTTGATGTGCATGTTGACAAGGTGCCTACCTATCTATTACCCACTACCTCGTCCATACTGTCTCTAGGAGATAGTTGGTCGTTGCTGGAGGGTACGGGGTGCACGGTTCTTGTGGCCGTGTTAGGATCAAAGTGTGGTTCTATGCACTTAGTGTGGAACGGACTACGGTCCAGCCACCGCCTTGTGTGCGCTTGATTCCCAAATACAGCGTGCTTGTGTTTGCCTGTGAAGGAGTGTGGGCCGCCTCTGTTGATGAAACGTGTCTCCCGTGCACATGCCTCCCGGTCTTATTCCTTCGGGTTTACACTGGATATGGGGTGTGTGGTTGGAGCTGTGGGTGGTGCAGCGCAAGCCACCCATGGTCCCTGTGTAGGCGCAGGCGTCCTGTGGCTGGCCACAGTGACAGGCAAATCCGAAACCGGATGCCGCCAACCATATATGGGAATCGCGGTCGACACAGATTGCGCGTCGCAATCCATCCACACAACGTGTACTTCAAAATGTCCCTCAACGACTAGACGATGTTCAAACTACATTACGGTCACGCGAATGCAACAGAACTGTGCAAGCAGTTTGGGATTGTCGTTCGTCGCGCATTTTTTGTCGTTTCATGCAGTACAAGGCTAATAAAGCGATGCTGGGTTTGGCGGAGTCATGATAGTTTGCGCTTTTCCAATAGTCCTGCGAAGGCCGATAGAGGGACAGGGGAATCCGGGTCACCGACTTTGATTAAGATGAACGCTCAGAAGGGTTCGCGCACCATCGCCCACTACTTGCGCGTTTCTCTTACATTCGTGTGGTCTGAATATCGTCTAGTCGCCTTACACTGCTGTCCTTGATAACAACCTGCAGCATTAGGTCAGTGAAACTAGAGTAGGTTTGGTGGAGTCTTGTCAGGCTACACTGTTCCAACTGAACAACTGAAGTAATTCGGTTGTTATGCCAGTACTGCTTCATTCCTAGACCTGATTACTGTTCGCTTTTACCTCGCTCATCATCCATTGCGAGGCTGAATGGGATGAATTGACGGCATATGTTGCACGAAGAAGGAATTCTAACAACAGCCCATGTTAATGAGGATTGTTAATTAATCCGGTGATCATTCCACACACATGCATGCATACGTACCCACATTACTAATGGATAGAAATATTTTAGTGCGTGTTTAGTGTCACAATTAGTTTGTAAGTCAGATAGCCTGACTACCAATCCGGTACAGCACCGGACGGCCATTTTGTCCTCTTAGTGCTGGTCACTGGTGCGCATTCTCTTAGTCCTTTTCAGATAACCGAGCCCATGACCGCTAGCGGTTAAGTGGCTTTGTTTGTGCGCACTAGCGGTTATAGGTTCGATTACCTGAAGGGGACCAAAGTAATGTGCACCACTAATGAGCCCCAAGTGTACGAATAAGCCGTCTGGTTATTTTTCGGGATCGGTGGTTGTGCTATCTGGCTTATATGCTAGTTACGACGACCTATAACGTAGCGACATGCTTACGTACTTGCATTCTGAATGCATTTATTCTTGTTACAGATTATGGAGTAAAAAGTTTGCTTGTTTATTTTTTCCTGCTTCTGCATTTCTCGAGACCCGCTTAACGCTCTTGTTTTTTTTACATACCAGAAGAATTCTGTGCGTATTGTGATTCTGTTGAAAAGCCTTCAACATGGGGTGGTCAAATCGAAGTGAGTAACCCAGTGCCACGTGTGCTGCTGCAACCAGTCTTTTTGCCGTATGCACATTTTACCTCTTGACTCATCTGTGGTGTAGCCTCCTTTTTCAATCACTGTTCTACAGGCCATATGTTGATGTTATCGTGTTTTGCGTTACGTTACGATTCGCAACGGCCGTTTTTGTCTCTAGCACCACTGGACTGCACGTATCCCAAGATACCCAACTACAACAGACATGTGTTGTCTCTCTCCCATGTAATAGCCCCCCGTTCTTGGACGTTTGTAACCGGCCAACGCATTGACTAGGCATCAAGTCACGTGGCACAACCGAGAGGACATTTGACAGCACGCCACATGATTTCCAACCTCAACCGCATGTACCACAAATGAGACGCGGGGGAGCGCGAAGTGCAGGTCCAGCGCCATGCGGCAGCACTATAAGTCCATTACCTTAGACCATAAGTGTCCAAACGTTTTGCACGGAATACCACATTTTGTGAGGTAAAAATATGGGCCATATTCAGTCTGACATTAAGATAATAACAAAAAGTACACATTTACGAAAAAATCCAAGCCCGCATTTGTTATTTGATGATGAGTTGGAATCTTAACGCGGGCAGCATTTGGCTCGCTAGCCGGACTTTGGACACTCCTGCCTTAGACCGTTCTCCGGCACCACTTATCCAGTCGTTATGAATGCTCATTTCTTGAGCTCGGTTCACTCTGATCAACGTCCACGACTTCATTGATTGGCTCACTTCGCTTCTTGCCAACCACATCGACCATCCGACTACAACTTACATCTGCTGCCACAGATGCTTCTTCCACCTCTGCTACTCCTACGTATCCGAAATACAACACCAGCAATCTCGACTGTTGCAAGCACGAGAAAGACTAGAGGTGATATGCAAAGTGCATGGATGGCATCGACACATTCGATAAGTCGCAGGCTCCGCCAATCAACACGGCCCTATGCCCCTAAAAACCCGGAGAACTATCGGTGCTTTTCTAATTGTTCTGATTGTTCTAATTGTTCTTTAGTCTAAGACAGCCTCACTAAGTGGAAGACTCCTGAAACTTTATTTGAAATCTGACTAACGTTCGGACTTAATCCATGAACCCAACCCCTTCGTACACAGGTAAAAATTTTCTACAAAATCTTTGTATTCATTATAAATACACATAGTGAACGGAAGATTTTGATCTGATTGTCAATTATGCAGGTTAGAGGACGTGTACATCTGCCCACAACATTTGCAAATGATTTTTTGCATGTGTTCATATGTACACATTGTGTACGAAGGAGTTAATGTACATGATTGAGCACCCAAGCTCGATGCATTGCCATGATCCTCAATTTTTTAATCTACCACGGAATCCGTAAGAGACATCAAAGCAGTTCTCCTGTCAACACACCGGTTACGTAGTCGACCCAGTGGGAAACGCATCTTTCCAGGCGCCTTACTACATAAACTCCGCCGGGGCAGAACTAAATCAAACAGCAATCAGATCGTCAACCGCACAAGAATTATTTTCACCCGTGTCATGCCCGAGATCCCGGCAATTAGTGATAACAAGCGAAAGCGCACGACTCGGATGAGTAGACGTTTTCTGTCGACTGTCATAACTCGGTTGGTTTCATTTTTTCAAAGGAAGTGGCTGGAGATCATAGAAACTTGTGGTTCATTGCCAGCAATCGACGGCGACTGTGCTACATCACCGACATGAAGTTCACGAAAGGCTACCTTTCTGCACTGCGGTTAAAAGTAAAAAATGGTTTGAACTATAGCGGCTCCGTAATTTCATTGAGAAGACAATGCCACCAAAAACTCAGTCTGGTCATTATATCGGTCCAAACCCGCAGCCACTGGGTTGACTGCCGTTGGACTGTATACAATGTTTGTAGGTCGAACTAGGGATGTCATTTTGCATCTGGTATGGCTGCGCTTGATGTGAATGTTGACAAGGTGTTTACCTGTCTAACACTCTTTACTTCGATTACTGGCTGCGCAAGACCGCTATTCTTTTGCTGGGGAGTGCATGGTCCTCATATCTATACTAGGCTCAAATAGTGGTTCCATGTATCCAATGTGGAACGGGATAAGGCCCAGCCACCGCCTTGTGTACGTCTGGTACACCTGATTCCCCCATTAGACTGACTGGGATGTTACCACTGTGCATGTTGAAGGAGTGTGGGCGTCTCCGTTGATGAAATGTGGCTTTTATTCACATGCCTACCGGTTTTATTCTTTCTGCTCTACACTGGATATGGGGGTGTGTGAATGATGCAGCGCGAGACACTCATGGTCCCTCCTAAGACACAGGCGTCCTTTGGCTGTTCCATGGAGACCGCAGCGACAGGCGAATCCGGAATCGGATGTCGCCAACCAGGCGCGCATGTGCTTTACTGTTTTACTTGGATTTGCGAATATGCCGCTGCACTTCTGACTGTGTTTGATTGCGCCACTGGTATGAAAATGATGATTGATGTCCGTGTGGTGGATATGCTTACCCAGACAAGCGAGGGATTTAACTTTAATTATTGGCGAGTCACAACCGCTTCGTCGTAGTTTTGTCAAACATACATTTGTGACTTTTATAAGAAGAACGCTTGCCAGGCAAAAACCCACTGTGCCCTGGAACGTTACCACCAACTTACTTGCCGGATCGAGATAATCCCGTACCACTTACCTGGCATTACTAGTAGGTTGTTCGGCCAGCCATCCCACGACCTTAAATCCCCTGGGGGTCTTTTTAAGTTGTTATTTGGTGCATTGAATCATCAGACAGCGACTTCAGTTCATTCTACTTCTCTCAGCAGTATCGTGGTAACCATTTCAGTTTGGGATTTCGGCCCCTTTATACGAAATCCCGACTGATGAAGTTGTTGTAATTTTGCTCCAAAATGTCCACAGATCTCCACCCCCCATTGCGATTCCCGCGATAGATATAGCTACATCCGATGCTTGAAGTTAAGACGATAGTAACCGAGCGCGAAGAGGTGGCTCCTCCGTGTTTACTGGCGGGGGTTTAGGCACGTGTTTGTCCACCAACGTCTCTCGCTTCAAGCCAACAATGGGCTTATGGAGATCCAGAAAGTAACCCCCCTGTTCTGATTCCACCTATGTGCTCCGTCATTCCATACATGCACCATTAAGAACCGTCAACGGCCCTACCACCATGGAGCACGGCTGGACTCTCGCAACTGCTCTGGCCGATTGCGCTCGTCGCAGTGCATCTGTCCATTAAGTACCTTTCCACGGAAACGTATATTTCAGCCGCACACATATTCAACACCGTCACATTAAAAAAGGAGTAGTACAAACTGCAGAGGGCGTTTCTGGTGTCGCAATTTTCCACAAAGGAAGCGATATGTTACTTATATTTTTCCGTCGCTGAACTCGCAGCGCAGTGGCGTCTTTCACTGGTTGTCTCGACATCTCCCCTAATTTGTTCTTCCGTTTCAATTCTTCCTATTATTCCGCCTCTAGAGCGGCAGCTATTACATCAGCTAGCTCACAGCCCATGTATCTGAGCTCCTACACACGCTTTTCTCGGAGGGCGTCTGCAATTCGGGGCTGTTCCACGGTGGACGGCGCAATCCGCTAAGAAACTAATCCACCAAGAGATGTTGCCTTGATGTTTTACCCTATTGACTACGCTCCATCTAGCAAGTCTCGGGAGTCCGTTCCTCGTTGCAAGCCCGACGGCCTTAAATCACCGCGTCACCTCCCGAGCTGTTTAACTCGATGATTGGCGCTTCCTTCGCAGTCACCCACTCCATCAGTACAGTACATCTTCGTGCCGTTTCTAGACCCACTATCGCGGCGCCAATAAGCAGCTTCACATTACCGCCAACTTTGCCTCATCTGCCTTCTATTCTTCAACTTATACCGCTTCTACGAATCTCCGCATGTTCCCGTCCTCTGACAGCTTCGACACAAATTTGTAAATGCCCTAGTGACACTAGGGTTTTTCTTCGAGGCAACCAATGTCCATAAGATACCTCAGGCTTTACCAATTATTAACATCACTCATTCGCTTGCTAAGCATCTCGCCACATTTATCTTCTCCAGACATTGGTGATTGCTGTATTGCGCTTACCTCTGTCGTCGGCTGATGTGCTGGTTGTGTTAGGTCTTTGTGGTGCTCCATGATCTGCGAGCCCTTAACATGCTACTTGAACTTGACCCAACGCTACTTTATTCTGATGCACCACAATTTGTATCAATTATCTTACGAATAAACACCGCTACTGGTATGTGTTTTCCTGTTGACTATATCACCCTTTGTGTGGTGGTTTTAATCTATTTATCAGATCTTGAGCATTCCTAACGCCTATTGTTGCACTTTTTAAAGTTCATTCATAATAGTACCTTAGGTATTTCGAAAGAGCAATACAGGCCATCAAAATGTCATGTTCCTCACGTCTGGGACATTCTGTGAATCTGCTGCCTCTGCTTCTACTACCATGCTTCTATCCATTCCTCCCGTCTTCAACGCATTTGCCACTTCACATAGCTCACCCAGATATCAGAAAGCTAAACGTGAAAGCTGACACTTTACCGAAGAAAGAAGTAAGTGAATTGATCAACATCACGAGTTCCTTGTTATCACGAGTTCAGGGGTCATCATGTGGCTGTTGGTCCCGCAACAACCCTGCACTTTAGTGGTGCGAAGCGCATACCAAATAACGGGACCACTCTGGACAGGCTAATCAGGGTTGATTGTGCCGCTCCAACATCGTCGAAAGCGAGACGATATCGCCCGAATAATCAAGATCAACTAACCTTTCACCAGGCAGGACCTCAACACCTACATCGTGAGATTCCGCAAGGGAACACTCCATGAGAGAATCCACGACGAAATTGAACAAAAATGGGGAAATCGGACAACCCTGACAAACGCCACTTGTGGCCGGAAAGCTATCCGATAGGACACCATAGACCCTGACGCGGCCTGTAGTGTTCGAGTATAGAGCACGAAGAATGTTCACATATTTCGTGGGAACA